AGAGTAAGACTCCAACTCAAAAAAAAAAAAAAGTATCCATGACTATAGAAATAAAAGCTGACTACAAAAGAGAATAAATGTCATTCTTAATTCTCTCTCTCTCTCTCTCTCTCTCTTTTTTTGCTTTTGAGACAGGGTCCCTGTTGTCCAGGCTGGAGTGCAGTGGTGTGATAATGGCTCACAGCAGTCTTGACCTCCTGGTCTCAAGCAACATTCCTGCCTTGGCCTCACAGTTTGTGACTACAGGCGTGAGCCATGGAGTCCAGCCCTTCTTTAATTCTTAAATATACAAAGATGTTTTATTGACATGAGGCTTTACATTTCATATCTAGAAATAAATAATTCATTCACTTAGGAAGAATCTGTAACTGGATCCTCAATTCATATATGCTCATTGTAAACCAGAAACAAAGGTGTAACATAACTGAATGGCTTATCAGTTTGGAACAGATCTAAAAGTAACCATCTCTGTATGTGACTCTAAGATGAAATCTGATTCTGTTTTTTTTTTTTTTTTTTGAGTTGGAATCTCACTCTATCGCCCAGACTAGAGTGCAGTGGCCGCTCCCGGCCACCGCAGCCTCGACCTGCTGGGTTCCGGCGATCCTTCTGCCTCAGCCTTCCAAGTAGCCGGAATTACAGGCATGCGCTACCACGCCCGGCTGATTTTTTTGATTTATTGTAGAGATGAGGTCTTGCTGCCCAGGCGGGTCTCGAACCCGTGGGCTCAGGCAATCCACTCACCTCAGCCTCCCAAAGGCACGGGATTACAGGCTAAGCCACCGAGCCCAGCTTGATTCTGGTTTTTGACAGAGCCATGTCACATTGTCCAGGCTAGTCTTGAACTCCTGGCCTCAAACAATCCTACTGCCTTGGCCTCCCAAAGTGCTAGGATTACAAACTCAAGCCACCACACCCATTTAATTCAAATAGTAACACACTAACAAATAGTTACACTGTGTAGATTTAAAACTATTCTGTTTCTTTTCCAGGGGAGGGGTCCCTTCTGATTTCTCATCAAATTTCAAGAGAAATTCTGAATATGTGGGTTGCCCCATGATATTGTACATATTAATGCACTTATTAGTTAAATAAATTATGAGCAAATTAGGAGTGAATAAGTTTTACAAATAAATTAAAAACAAGTTTTTTGCCTATAAAAAAGCATGTAAAGTCAAAGACGGGCAGCTGTGGAATTATTCATTTCTTTTTTTTTTCTTATTTTTTTTTTTTTTGAGTCGGAGTCTCACTCTGTCGCCCAGACTGGAGTGCAGTGGCCGCTCCCGGCCACCGCAGCCTCGACCTGCTGGGCTCCGGTGATCCTTCTGCCTCAGCCTTCCGAATAGCTGGAATTACAGGCATGCGCTATCACGCCCGGCTGATTTTTTGATTTATTGTAGAGATGAGGTTTCACTGCCTAGGCGGGTCTCGAACTTGCGGGCTCAGGCAATCCATTCACCTCAGCCTCCCAAAGGCGCGGGATTACAGGCTGAGCCACCGAGCCCGACTCCGTGGAATTATTTCTACAGTAAGATATCAACTTGCCATATATAACAGTTTTATTTTTTTGCCAAAATATGTTGAGTTTCTTTTCTTTTCTTTTGAGTTGGAGTCTCACTTTGTCGCCCAGACTGGAGTGCAGTGGCCGCTCCCTGCCACCGCGGCCTCGACCTGCTGGGCTCTGGCAATCCTCTGCCTCAGCCTTCCAAATAGCCAGTACTACAGGTGCTCGCTACCATGCCCAGCTAATTTTTGATTTATTGTAGAGACCCGGTCTCACCAAGTTTCCCGGGTGGGTCTCGAGCCCGGGGGCTCAGGTAATCCACTTACCTCGGCCTCCCAAAGTGCTGGGATTACAGGGTGAGCCACCGAGCCCAACCATGTTGAGTTTCTTTTAAACGCAGCCTAAATGTCTAGGTCCATTTATTGACTTGCCATTTCTCAAAGCAGGCGCTGTCAGTTCCCAACCATAAGTGCATTGTCTTGTTATATGAACAAAGCATAGTCTTACCTGTTCCCAAGCGTCTAGTAACATGACATCATCTTCTGCTAAATCATCCTGGGTGAACTCTCCTGGAACCTCTTCAATCTGAAATGTATGAGAAATTTTATCACATAAAGCAGTCATTTTTTTCTTTTTTTTTTTTAATTGAAGTCTCACTCTGTCACCCAGACTGGAGTGCAGTGGCCACTCCCGGCCACCACAGCCTCGACCCGCTGGACTCCAGCGATCCCTCTGCCTCAGCCTTCCAGGTAGCTGGAACTACAGGAGCACGCTACCACGCCCGGCTCATTTTGATTTATTGTAGAGATGAGGTCTCGCCAAGTTGCCCAGGCGGGTCTTGAACCCGCGGGCTCAGGCAATCCACTCACTTCAGCCTTGCAAAGGTGCGGGATTACAGGTTGAGCCACCGAACCCGGCTGAGTAGTTGGCATTTTTAAGAGCAGCTTAATTTATAAAGTACATTATAATATTAATGCTTTCACATATATTACATCTTTGACCTTAAAACTATCCTATGTAGAGCCAAGACTGTCATGACGGTTTGCAGGTGAGCTGATACTGAGAATCAGTAACATGTCTGGAAAGTGTCGGAGCCAATGAGGGAATGTCCCTCCCCATGTTGTTAAGTTCTTTCCCACAGACACTTAAGACACTTACAATGAATCTTCCGGTTTTGTTAGAGCAGCCGTAAAGCCGGGGTGGGTGGTCTTCGACTTGGGTTTCTAGTAGTGGTGAAGTCTGATAGCCTCTTTTGCCACCAAGGGAATTCCAGAACGCCTCTGTGGAAAACACACTCGGTTATTTTCAGGAGCAAATGGTTGGTATCATTTTACAGGAAAAAATAATAGCTCACCTTAACATTAGTGTCAAGAAACTACTTATATGAATCAAGGGACATCATGGCTCAAGCCTGTAATCCCAGCACTTTGGGAGGCAGACATGAGTGGATTCCCTGAGCACAGGGTTCGAGACCAGCCTGGGCAATGAGGCGAGACTTCGTCTCTACAGTAAATTAAAAAAACTAGCCAGGCATGATGGCGCACGCCTGTAGTTCCAGGTACTTGGAAGGCTGAGACAGAGGGATCACTTGAGCCCAGCAGGTTGAGGCTGCAGTAGCCAGGAGCATGCCACTGCACTCCAGCCTGGGCAACAGAGGGAGACGCCGACTCAAAAAATAAAAATAAAAATATTTAAACATACCAGGTATTATTGCTAACTTTAGCAACTAATGGAGGGATTCTTAATCCCCAGAGCCATTTAAAAGTGACCTTTCGTGAAAAAAATCTAAGTTCTGGCTGGTGTTCCTGGCACTGCAGCACATACCTGGTTCCTCGCCTTCCTGAATCCTTAAGGCTTTACACTTGAGGACGCTTGTTACATACTGCACTCCTTTCTCCTCCTCCTGGCTTGCACCTTTTCCTATCCAGATGTAGCCATTATTTTGTGGCAGTTTCAGGACAAAAACATCGTTCGAATTCAGTGAATGTGCATCAACATCAACCTAGAATATGAAGAAAAATCATGCGGAGATTCAAATTTCTTGCAGTTCCCTCAATCAATGTGTCCCAGAAGCTATAACTAAGACAAGCCACCCATACTTCTGTCCTATCCCAGGGATTTATTTCAGGGCAGCAGTACTGTGATTCCATTAGAGTGTCTGAAACATTACAGTAGGTACTTTTTGGTCTGTGTCACCAGAACACTCAATTGTCCTCAGACAGCAGCACAATGCTCTAAATTAAGGTAAGTCGAAGTCAACTGGTAATAATCGAGGATTTGGAAAAGTAAACAAGGATAATACTCAAAGATACTATAAGAACAAGGATGGGTTATAAGTGACAGTTGGAAAGCGGGCATAGTATTCACAAATGACGCGTCTAAAGTAAAGGTATTCAGCTTTTTTTCTCCCCAACTAAAGAGGAAGTTTAACAAATAATCACAGGGAAATCTAAAAATCATAAAAACATGAACTAGACTCCAACACAGGCAAAGAGATAATACTGCATTCACCAAGAGACTCTTCAGGCACGGGTTAATTATAGCTCAAATAATAAAAGGCTATTTAGTAGGGAATTAAAAACACTGTACTGACATACTCCTTCCTTCCAAGTGAGACGCTGTGGACACTGACTGGGAACCAGTAGGTGAGCACAGTTCTGGGTCAGGTAGCCACAGCAGGAGTGACAGGGGCCTGGCTGGGTGAGGTTGGAGGTAGAATCTCAGGAGAGGGCAAGGCTGAGTGAGTATGAGGGACTCAGGATTTCAGGATGGGCCTGAGTCTATGACCTTGTGGTTTTGTGACTGTGTCTGCCTCTGAGAGATCCTGTCTGACCCTAGGATGGTGATGCTTTTTCTGCACAATTGTGGAAGTGAGGTTGGAGTAATTCCAGGGACAGGAGAGAGAATCAGTAAGCAAGACTGAGAGGGAGCAGTCAAGAGGAGGAAGAAAGCAAGAGAGGGTGGTGACCCTGAGGCCAAATGAATCAACTGCTTCAAGAAGGCTGGGTGATCGGCTGTGCCAAAGTATGCCACCTGACCAACCTCGCTGAACTGCCAGGATGAAGGCGACAACTGCATGTTGAGTCGAATTTTGCTAGGTTGGTCAGGAACTTGTCTTCAGAGAGAATATTAGGAATGGCTGTTGGGAGTTTTTGTTTGTTTGTTTTTGAGTTGGAGTTTTACTCCGACGCCCAGACTGGAGTGCAGTGGCTGCTCCCGGTCACCACAGCCTCGACCCGCGGGGCTCTGGCGATCCTTTCTCCTCAGCCTTCCGAGTAGCCGGAATTACAGGCGCGTGCTACCACGCCCGGCTCATTTTTTATTTATTGTAGCGATGAGGTCTTGCCAAGTTGCTCAGGTGGGTCTCGAACCCGTGGGCTCAGGCAATCCACTCACCTCGGCCTCCCAAAGTTTTGGGATTACATGCGTGAGCCCCTGTGCCCGGCCTGACTTCTCTCTTCCAACAATCCCTTCTCGGCCTCCTTGCGTCTCGCATTCCCATGGTCCAACACTAAATTGTGCCATTGCAATAACTCTAGGTCCCCAGAAATCCATTCCAGCTTCTAATCGGACAGTCATATCCTGTCCTCTGGCTTCTTCTCTCCAGAACGTACATTCCAGCAATTCTACAGGTCCATAGCTCGGTCCATGAGCCCTCTTCATCATTCGTACCCTCTCCCCTCCCTGCTCTCTGCAGTAGCTTAAGCTACCTCATGCCTTTGGCAGCTTGATGTGTTATAGTTTCCTTAAAATTCATTTGTTTGGGTTCAGTGGAGTTGAAAAACATGAGAGGCCTGTATCTGGAGCTTCACTTTTTACTCCACTTTCCTGATTTTTAATGCTTTTTAAAAAATATTGTGAACAGAGGATTAATTACAGAAATGAAGGGCGTTTACTTGCCAGGATCTTAAAGACTAATATTTGTGGATGGCTCGGGGCCATTGGGAAGTTCATAACCAGGGCATGTTTTATTGAATGCGTGACATTACCTCCACAATTCTGGTGATAGATGCCAGGTTTCTCCGGACTTGAAAGAGGCGGGTAGGGGGAGCAGGTGCCTGACCTTCTTTCTTTGATGTTCCATTCTTGTAAATAATGAGCGGTTTGTCTTTGAACAAACTCAGCAGGTGAACAGGCTCTTTGCCTTGGGAGACTCGGATCTGGTGGGGGGTGGTGGGGAGAGCAAATAAGAAATATAATTAAGAGCGCGATAAAAGAAGGTTGTATTTCTAAATATGTTCTTATTTTTCTTTGTGAAAAAAATAAACAAGTCAAGAGCAGGAGGAATGATGATTAACAGAAAATACAGGTTAATGATCAACAATGTTCCTTGTTGACTTAATCAATTGCTATCCCTGACACAGTACCCCTAAGTAGTTTCTCGTCAGGGAAATCATCAACTTTGCAGCACTTTCTGCTTCTAGAAAGAATGAAGACGTACATTTGTTCATCAACATAAGCAACTTATTTTTTTTTTTAATACGATATGAAGACTTTTCAGGGTGAGGAAATTGGAAAAAAGTGGTAAATTATTTGCTTGATTTACCTGTCAGCACCAAATATTGAATTTGAATTTCCTATTTCTAGCATAAACTCTTACTGCATTTTTCGGAACAAAGAGCTCAGATTTTGTGTCAGTCCCCTATTTTTTAAAATTTGTTCTGTGCTAGAATTAAATCGTCTTACCTACCCTTTTCTGTCATTTTCTAGAAGCCAGGTGAATGAGAATGAGGATGCAAGAACCATTAAAGGGAGGCTGAAGGAGCTCTGAAAATAATTGACTTCCTAAGTGTTTCAATTACAGGTATTCAAAAAAGTGAGCAGCAAATCATGGAAATGTCGCTTCTTGTCCTAGAGCCTGAAATAGGGGTAGCTGATAACCTAAAGCTGTTGGTTTAGCATTGCACTGAACGTTGAGCAAATTTCAATTGCAAATGTAAGAGAAAGAGGGCCACTGATGAAGGCCCCTCTCCTACTGTGAAAGGAGAATAAGAGAGAGAAAGGTAGATTAAAATGTTTTCAAGATTGCTAATATACTCTACAAAAGAACGCTTAAAACAGCAATAAAAGGCTTTAATGTTTTTATGCGTTATTGTAGGCGACTGCCATCTAGTGATTAGACTAAAATGTACCATTCTGTTGTCAATTCAGGATTCAACTGGCTAACGATTCATGGAATTTCATTAACTGGGTAGATCAAATATTCCACTATAATATATGGAATATACAAGGTGCAATGTATCAATTTAAAGTTTTTGAATAATTTGGTAAGATATACTTGAAAGATCAACTAAATGGCATAGAATTAAATGTATTTAAAGAATTCAATCTTCTTGCTAATTTGCTAATTAACAATTAGCAAGTCAATTTGCTTTTTAAAAAAAAGTTACTATGCACCTTTAAATGTAGAACTTACCTGCTTTGCATATCTTTTTTTTTTTTTTGAGTTGGACTCTCACTCTGTCGCCCAGACTGGAGTGCAGTGGCCGCTCCCGGCCACCGCAGACTCAACCTGCTGGGCTCCGGCGATCCTTCTGCCTCAACCTTCCGAGTAGCTGGAACTACAGGTGCGCACTACCACACCCAGCTAGTTTTTGATTTATTGTAGAGATGAGGTCTCGCCAAGTTGCCCAGGTGGGTCTCGAACCCGCGGGCTCAGGCAATCCACTTACCTCAGCCTCCCAAAGGCGTGGGATTACAGGCTGAACCACCGAGCCTGGCTTTGCATATCTATTAACAAGCACCAAGATGGAAAGATAACCAGCTGGAAGACCCAATTCAGCCTCCACACCTTAGATTTTATGTTTGAAAGTGTGGTCCTAATTTGTTACATTTGAAGAAGTAATGAAACATGTATAAAGATTGAAGAAGGAGGCAAAAACACAAGGCTTGTAAACCACACAGAATCTTAGCTCACTTGGCCATCAGCAACCGGGAAGTTAGACAGGCACAGCCATGCAAAAGGACTGTTTGTTGCTACAGTATCAAAACCATCACTACATGAGCCAGCAAGCAGCTGCTTTCAATCTGAAGCCTAATCTGGAAGATACTGTTCCTGCAATCGAGAATTCCCATTTTAACCTTTGAGAAATGGTTTTAGGTCTTTTTCTCACTTAGTCAACACTTTATTTTTGGAGTCCGGGTAACCCTTTGTCACACAGGCTGGAGTGCAGTGCTGTGATCACAGCTCACAGCAGCCTTGCCCCTTCTGTCTCAGTCTTCTAAGTCGCTGGAACTACAGAGGCACCACACCACCACAACTGGCTGGTTTTGTTTTTTGGTAGAGATGAAGTCTTGCTATGTTGCCCAGGCTGATCTTGAACTCCAAGGCTCAAGCAATCCTCTCGCCTCAACCTCCCAAAGTGCTGGGATTGCAGTCATGAGCCACCGCACCCGGCCTCCACTTTAAAGATTTTTCTTTTCTTCTTTCTAATCAAATTGTGTACTGGCTGGAGAAAGTCCGGAAGCTTTTCCTGGGGGCTGACTTTGAAACGGCAGAGTATGGAGACCCCACAGCAGAAGTCTTCCAGTTAATCTACAGCCTGGCCACAAGCAGAATGACACAGGTCAGCCCTCCAAGTGGACAATTCAAGATAACCATCAAAGCAAGAACAGCTCCTAGTGCTGTTCCCAGATACTCCTCATTTCATTATTTCCCTCCTGTTCTTAATCTAAAATTTTGAAGCGGTTTCTTTGAAGCATGAGCCTGGTTATTTCTCCATCTGCCGGCTTTTAAGATAAAGTCACCTGCCTTCCATTAAATCTTTTATTTCAGTCTGTAAGTGACAAGTAGCAGAACTTGCCATCGGCAACATTTCCAGCAGAGGGCAGCAGACACCCAGGCGGACAGAAAACACCCAAACACCCAGGCATCAGGGTGAGCAGCCCCGGCTAGGAAGAAAGGGAGGGAATGGAGGAGGTGAGGGAGGCAAAGAGAAGGGGAGAGAGAGGGGAGAGAGGGAGGGAGAGAGAGGAGAGGGAAAGAATCAGAGGGTGAGAGAGGGAGAGAGAGATCCCAAGGTAGCTGGAACAAGCAAGCACCCTCCTGCCCTCTCTGAGGCCAACAAGAGACATAATGGCACACTCCAGAAGGAGATGGGTCTCTCTGAAGTCTGTATTTCAGTTCTACAACAAGAAATTAAATAAGCAAATACAGGCTGGGTGCAGAGGCTCATGCCTGTAATCCCAGCACTTTGGGAGGTCGAGAAAAGAAGATTGCCTGAGCCCATGCGTTTGAGACCAGCCTGGGCAACTTGGCGAGACCTTGTCTCTACAATTATTCACAAAATTAGCTAAGTGTGGTGGCACACGCCTGTGGTTCCAGCTACTTGGAAGGCTGAAGCAGAAGGATCACCGAAGCCCAGTAGGTTGAAGC